AGGATGGTACCCAGGCTACCTTCTTCCTAGAACCAAGTTCATATCATACACCAAAGTTTGCGTTTGCTCTAGCATAATAATTAGCGGGAGAATGGTATGGCAGAGATTTCAGAATGGTCGTTCAGCGATTTGTACGTGATTTACAACTGCAGCCATTGGCTGGAACTATCAGAGAAGGCGTGGGAATCCCGCGCGGCCTTACAGACACCTTTTCATCCATTCAGGGTCACCGGGCACTGACATGTTACTGTAATTCACAATTTTTTGCGGTACTTTCGCAGTCACCTCTGTTCCATGAACTTATCATTACTGTGGGCAAATAATTCACTGACATTCTTTTTTCTGCACCTGCCGTCACCATAAACATATAGTTCTACAAATATGTCCACCGCAATCTTTTGCTACCGTGAACATAAAGTGAATTACAGTACTGTGCTGGCTGCCCTGCAGACCTTGTTGTTGTTCACAGTAATACACTGAGTCAGCTCAACCTAGAGATCTTATCTGAACTGTGGACAGATTACAATTGTGAGTTGTATGTGCTCTACAACTCAATGACAGTATGTTGTTAATACCTTGAACTTCCATTTTTAAAGAATTAGAACTCACATTACATTGGAAAACTAATAGATTACCATACGTTTTCCAATCTATAATTTTGCCTTTTTTTTTTTGAGTGAGGACTCCCTTGAGTGACAGGTCAATCTGATTATCCCAAAGGCTATAATTATGTTCTCTTAGATGTGTACGGGTGGGAGTTTTGATCTTTTTCTACCTTCTGGCTATGAGATGGACATTATGAAACTCTTTCAAGACACATTCTTCACACTGTTTCTATATATTCTTTCTTCCAAAGGACTTACAAAGCTCGAAATGTGAGAAGAATACTTGCGAAGTCTAACACAGGACCACCTTCTAGCTATGATTAGATTGGAAGACAGACAGGCAGTTAGACCTCATTATTAGGGGATTCTGCCAGATCCCTCACACTTCACACTCAAAGGTCATCTCCAACAGAAGGTGGCAGTGTCCCAGTGTGTCCTGGGGCCTTAAGACCATGGTCAGTTGGGACAGACTGCCATTGTGTGAGTACAGTATAAGCTAAAAGGATGTCCAAACATGCTAGCTAGTAGCCTGGATGCAAAACTGTTTCTAGGGCTTGCACAGGTCAGCCCTTAGTAGCCTGGATGCCAGACTATTTCCAGGACATACATAGGATAGTTCCTAGTGCATTATGTAGTAGCATAGCCTAGATGCCAGATTGTTTCCAGGGTCTACACAGGTCAGCTCATAGGAGTCCTAGTAGTAGCCTGGGTGCCGGACTGTTTACAGGGGCTACACAGGCAGCTCCTACACAAGTCAGCTCCTAGTAGCCTGGGTGCCAGACTGTTTTTTAAGGCCTACGCAGAGCAGCTCCTTAGCTCCAGAGCCAACATAGCCTACGTGTCCAGTCTATCAGAATCATGAGAATGGACTGTGGTAAAAATTCCATTGGGGCATTTTGCCTCTAGAGCCAAGGAGGCCGTCTGTTTAGGCCCTGGAAGCAGTCTAGAACCCAGGCTAGGATTGCTAGGGAAGACAACCTGGTTAAAAACCACAAACTTCCTCCCAGACCTCCCACTTACAATGTGTACAAGAGCTTCAGAAACATAAGTCCAAATGTAAATATCCTAACAGTGTTATATAAGACAAAGTCAAGAAGACAGCTTTCCACGAAAAATTTCAGGATTCATAGATGGCATACAGGTTCAAGCACTAAACAAGTGTATACAAAAGCCATTAGAGTATCTCTTTTTTTCAGTATCTGTGATCTTGTAAGGTATACAAAGGGTCTACGAAAGTATATACAGTGTAAAACAGTTTAATGGTGGCCAATTTGTTGTGTCTACAGACTGAGGTCAGGGACCCCCTTTTGTTTGTGAGCCTCTGCCAGATAGGAAATGCACCTGGATGTGCACAGACGTACTACAGGTGATTTTTGGACACCTGCCAACTCAGGTGAGTGTACCCACCTGATGAATTGGACCACCTGTACAAGTTTATCTCTCTGGGTGGGAGAGATAGGTTTCGAAACTGGGACACACAGTTGATGTAGATAGAATGTCTATTTCAGTGTGTAATTTCGAGACATGGTGGACAGGTCCCAAGGATTGCATCGTCAGAAGGTGTGCTCTGTTTTGAGACGAGGCCTGGGGGTTTACAGGAAACCATATTGTGGTTTTGCCAAATATTATTGGTGCGATTCCTGCCGCCGGATGCACAACACTGAGTCGAGGGTCTGGCACAAACATCAAAACCTGGTCTGTAGCCAGCGCATGTTTACTAGCATACAGCAATTGCAGGAACTTTGCGAGGTTTGACAGAAAAAAATTTGAAAACCAATCTGTCAACCATGACGAATAAAACTGACAAAAATATAATCATAAATACATCCGAAAGGACCACCGACAGCCACTCTCAACCCCATAATTTTTCCTCTCAATATGCAGAAAATTGCGTTTTGGAAGGCTTGAAGATTCAAAATTTTCTTATGAGAGCATGCCCCCCACCCCCTAGATTGCAGGCGATTGCCTTGTGTCTATGGCATTCTCCCCAAGATCCAATCATGAACCTGGGCTGACGGAAAACAAAAAAAAATTTGGAGCTGACTCTAACCTTCACTTCAGCCACAGAAAACAGATTGTTCTAACACCTGGGAGATTATCCTTACAGATGTTCCATGTTCCCCACATGGTGAAAAATGGTTTCCTTCACCAGGGAACAATCAGGATGCCAGAGTGATATATGACTTGTTTTGGCAACAGTACTCAACAATTTGGCGGCTACTGTGTCCTTAAACTGCATAGATAGCCAGTGTGCCAAAAATATGTGTTTACTATCATACGGGACTATAAACAAAATAAAACAATAAATATTATACAAAGGTCTACTGAATTGAGATTGGACTGCCAATGATGATGATGACTGAATTGTATAATACAAGCCAGAAAGGGGAACAAAGTATGAATTTGCAAAGCTTGGTGTGCTCGGCAGTTTTTCAGACTAATCTTGAAGCAGAGGTGAGTTTTTATTATTATTTACACGCCAAACATTTTTTAGGGAAGAGGAACAGAGAAAAAACGCATAACACTAGAAAGTCTAGTACCGTTCTGTAAATGAAGATATTTTTGTGGTGGTTTTACTTCTCTAGAAACAGAGAAAGAAACAGTTGCAAACACTGAGCTGGACCCCTTACATCTGCTTGAATATCACTTCAGACACACTTAAAATTCAGTCTGTGTTTTTGAGTAGAAGTGTGAAGCAGTTAGCCTCTACCAGGCTTCAGAGGCTGTTAGGAAGGGCAGAAATAAATTTGGCTACATAGACAGATAACATGCCAGTTAATATCAATATGCTGAAGTATAGTTTGCTGCTACCGAACTGCACTCTTTTAGTAGACCAACTCTACTGGTATCTTATCTGTTAGCCTGGGTTCCAGACCCATAGCACACTGGACACAAATATCTCAGTGAGCCTGGGCACACTGAGATATTTTGTGTCCAGTGTGCTTTGGGTCTGGCATCCAGGCTACTTATCTGTCTACTGGGCCAATTTCTACTCTTTCTAGCAGCCTCTGCAGCCTGGTAGAGGCTACCAAACCATACACATCTGTAAGGAGGTGTTGCGTCCCTAGGGAACTAACCCAGTGCCCAAACAGTAGCCACACTGTACCAGAAACCAGGAAGTTGTCATGCTTCTAGTTAGCAAAGTTCTGCCACATGTGCCTGGCAGTTGACACAGGGATATTTTGACACCCAAGGGGTTTTACCTAACACACAGACATGCATGTGTGCTACCATTTCAACACAGGACTTTCATGTTATTTCTGTACAGCAGCTTTCTGGCATTGTAGAAACTTGATCGTTACACAATATTCAGTGTTGTTTTTGTGTATGTACTTCTAACATCTTTATATCAATCATTATACATATAAATTAATGGTATTATTGTATTACAGTATTATGGATTAAAATTTACAAAAAGGTCTAATAAAATTGACTTTCACTTCTCAAAGTCTGATATTACTAAACTGTAACACAAACAACGAATCTGTTGGATAAACAAATCGGTATTGTCCACAATCAAACAACAAAATTGAATCCCAAAGTACACATTGTACATGTAAAGCCATTTCTGCAATTGGTACATGATTCTTTATCCTTTTTCGTGTGAAATTTCCTTTCCTCAACTACTAGTATATGTATTTCTTTTTTTTGGTAGGTTTCGCTTTGCTCAGTGTTTGATGTTTTTATCTAATACACACAAAGGTGCAGGGAAAAATTCATGAGCTCTCAGCACACTGCCCTTTTTTCAAACAGTCGAAATGACAACAAAAGGTGCAAACAAAACAGATGACAACAAGAGAACGAATTGAACCTTTGAAATAGTGCCTTTTCCTCTTTTGTATTTTGCTCTCTTTTCTACTTCAAGAGATTGTGTAAAAATCACTTCTAATATAATTCCAGTTGTTGTTATTTTTCAACAATAGGTAACAGTAATATAGCATGCAGTAACATATTTTCTAACCTTCCATTACAAAATCACCTTTTCTTAACCAGAAGAAATTTTCTAAACTGAGACAATAAGATTGATTATTTCCTTCAGTTTAGGGCCCCAAGGCTGGTATGTTTCGCAGGGTAAACCACAGAGCTCTCCCAAAACAACAGCAGTGTTACATGATACCCAAGTCCTGTGTACTTTCCCTCTTCAGTCCCCATTAAAGTCTACATCCTACCCTCCAAAAACACTTCCAACTGTTGCCGACCTTTCTCGCCGAGACAACCATGTTTTTAACCATAGCTGTCTGCGACAATATAAGGCCTGGCGGTATATAAGTCCACGGTTAATCCCTACGCAGACTACCGGCACATGTTCTCGTGATGTGACCTTTTGTAAGAATGTCACCTCAGAAATCTTGCCACAGAATAAAGGAGACAAATTATTTGGTGAGTGTGGCTTACCTTTGTCACCAATCGTCATCTCTGCGACCATGGACGTGGCTCTCGCTTTTGTCACGTTCGGCGACTTTCCCCCGCCGCCGTTGTTGCCGCCACCGTCGGCGCTCCCTGCTTGGAAGAAGGACGATACCGATAAGCCTCTCAGTCGGCGAATAGAAAACCTTTTCTTCAGTGTTGACATGGTGGCAGCCCTGATCAGTTTTTAAACACCACCGGTAAAAAAACAGGCACAGTCTCTGCTCCTGTACTTTACATATACACCCTACGGGGGGAAACCGTTGCTCCGGTCATACGTCCATACTGGCGGTCTGGAAAAACGTGGGGGCTCGGTGCCGATGGCCTCCGAAAACAAGCAGGCAAACACAGAGTGGTTTGGTAGCATTCCAGACCTGTGAGCCTGGGCGGAACACTCAACCTTCTGTTTGCACAGGGGGTGGGCAGGGTAGGGCGGGAACTTTACTCACCCTCCTACACCACCCGACACCAATCTTCATCAACTCTTCACACAATAGGCTCAATTTCAGCCAATAAAACAGTCTATTTACATACAATCTCTCTCCAACTCATTGATTTTTTTGTCTAATCCTGTGGTTGTGCCACCCCCATGTAAATCGGCACTTAGAATGGATCTGTGAAACTTAATACATGGTGCTAAATATGTATGTTCGGCTTGTTGGGGGCAGTGAGCTGTGACCTTATTTCCATATCCTACCCAGCCAGGGGCCATTCTAAAACTGTAGCCTGGTTCACAGCACTGGATGAAGAAAATCGTATGGTGAACGGAGAAATTATGGTGAGACTGTGTGAGAGAGGTCAACTGTTTTTCACCTCCCCAGACAGTGTATTGTTATGTTAAACAGGCATTGTTACAGACACAGGCAACACATGGGGTTCAAAGTGCTGTAGGCACTTTCAAAACGTTACATGGTTCTTGTTACTTTTACACAGTGCTTAGGCAAACATAATGAAAGGATTTGGCCATAATCTTGTCAAAACGGTTTCAACTGAGCACACACTAAGCTTGTAGAGGTTATTTCCCTCATGGTAGTCTTTTTTTAAAGACAATTTTATACTTTTATACTTTTTTAAAAAGTACAGGATTACCATACCAAGGACACTATACACTAATACAGTCAGAAATGTCCATGATCAAACATATACTACATACATTGTCTTTGAAATATTTTCCACAAAATCTACAAGATTGTATCATGTAACAGTTTTTCTCTGATTGTCTGTGACATCTTAGGATGAAAGTCTTTGCAAAGGAATTTTAATCTGAAAAAAAAAAATGGTTGGCAAAAGTAGCCTGACTGTATTTCAAGGTATCACTTTGAAGGAAAACTAAAATGCTAATCTCAAAAAGTAAAATGCTAAATCCAAAACTAAAATGTTGAATTTGAAGTCTAACATGCTAAATCCAAAAACTAAAATGCTAAATCTGAAAACTAAAATGCTAAATCTGAGACTAACACCACAAGCAATAAAGCATTTCTGGCAATTCATCCTAACACACTACGTTACCCAGTGAATTAATCAGACAGTAGACCAATTGTTGTACTGAATAGGGACATGGCATCCAACAATGGATAGGGCAGATTTATCAGAAGAACAGAACAATGGCTTTCAAGCAGTTTTCATCTGCAGATGTTGACGTATAGGTACGCTACCCTTTGTTGTAGGTGTTATGCTTCAGGACTAAAAAGTTCTGGTTGAGAATGGTATAGTATTTGTTGAGAGACAAAACAATGTTGCTAGGTGTGATTTTGTTGAATGTGTCTCGATGGCTTTGTTTCGCTACATCACATGGGTAGTTCACTAGTATGAAATCCATGGTGGTTTTTAGCCTCCGTAGCAGGCTTATAGAACTGGGGGTTTGGTGGTCTTCGACTGTTTTCTGATTAGCCCAGTTCTAAAAAACGGGGGTAATTGAACCAAGCCGACTATGTTGTCTATATGCAATCAGAAAATAGCACATAAAAGCTCCCAAAGACCCTGAAGACCCCCAAAACCCCCAGTTTTTGGCATGCTATGGAGGCTAGGTGGTTTTACACAAAAGATCTTCACGATAGACTAATTTTTGCTAAGCCATGCCACGGTCAATGGCCACGTTCCAACTCCAACTGTTTGTTCCTGTCTTGTTAACAATGTCCTCCAAATGATAATACTGACAGACGTTTGAAGACTATACCATGGCATGTTTGGCAGGGATGACTTTTTTTCTGTCAAAAATTGTATACCAAGCCAAATTTGACGGCACAAAACACTTTGTAAAGGAAAGTTAAAACAGTATGTTCTTCATACTGTAGCATTCACAGACAGTATTTTGGAATTCCCTCTAGAGGGGGGATTCTCACAATGAGGATTTCCACCACCCAGCTCTCAGCACCAGGGCCAGTGTACTGATTGGTTGCCATTAGACCCTGCTGGCTCAATCAGCACTAACCAAACAGAGAGCCTGTCATCTGCTGAAAGCCCCTTGCTGATTGGCAATTTGGCAGGGGAAGTTGATGGTTATCAGTTCTCAAGGGAAAGAAGCAAAAGATAGGAGAGACAGAGCTTACCCAAAAAGCAGTTACTCAAGCCACTGGATATGATTTTGGAAACGTCATACGTTTCAGCTAGTATCCACTAGCTTTCGTCAGTGACTGAGAGACCAGAGGGGAAATGCAGGTTTATAAGCACAAACTATTGATTGATATGCAAATAAAGAGAAGACAAATTTTTGAAAGTCGAAAAAGGAACAAAAGTCAGACAAGTCAAGACAAGATAATGCAAATTAGTCAGAAAGCTCCTGTTATGCAGAACAGGGACAGAGACAGAGCTTAGTATACCCTGTTTGCCAAACTAGTATCGGGCCGTTAGCCGTTTTCCTTCCGCAGCCAAGGGCTCAACTCCTCCGTGGTGGTAATTTAGATAGGCAGGCGAAGGCCTCTTGGCTACCAAAGGAAAACGGCTAATGGCCCGATACTAGTTTGGTACCCAGGGTAAGCTTAGTAGTGATTCAACCTCCTTGGTAGTGACAGCCTACAGTATTTGAAAAGTCAGGGTGTTACATGACTATAAGGGGGCCCGCAAGCCCTTTTCCGTAGAGCGTAATCGGCCGTTTTAATTCTACGTAGAGCGTAGACGGACCGCTCTAATTCAACGTAGAGCATAATTGGCACATTTTGCGTAGAGCGTATTTGCCGTTTTAATTCTACGTAATGCGTTGTAGCCACTTGGAATTTGTCGTAAAGCGTAATCAAGAGGTTTCTGAATCCAGCGTAGAGCGTTGTCGGGACCCCTCCTTTTGCAGACCCTCCTATAACACTTGTTGATCAATCGGGGCCTCCATGGGGGTCCGTATGCATTTTCCGTAGAGCGTAAACGGCCATTTTAAAGCGTAAACGAGAGGTATCCAAATTCAGCGTAGAGCTGTCTACCCAGCGTAGAGCTGTCTATTCCCTGTCCACCCCTATTCAGTAATGGACTAGCCTTTCTGTCTATGACTGTTTATAAAACACTGCCAACAGTTCAAGTTCAAAAAGGTGCATTCCTCCTGTCAAAGATCAACCTCAACTGCCGCTGCTGAAAACTTTCAACTTCTGAGGGTCTGTATGGGGGAGAACTGGAACTGTTTATATTGGTAACTTTTGAAGGGCTAGTAGCAACGTTTAATGGTAAATTTGGGACGATGCACATCTTATACAATGTATACACTGCGCTAGAATTTGAGTATCAAAATTGATAAAACTAGACTTCGAAAAGCAACAAACCATGAAACGTTTGACCAATCTGGCTTTCGACTATGTAACACAGAAAATTTGTGCAAAACGCTTAATGATAATGCTGGATAACAAGTAATATGCTACATAGAATCAAAGCGACCAATTACACTGTATGAATATTCAAAATGCAGTCAAAACTACCAAAGAAGACTTAGTGGTCACTTGATTACTTGTAGAGGGCCTGCAAGGGGGGTCCCAACAACGCTCTACGCTGAATTCGGAAACCTCTTGATTGCACTTTACGATAAATTCCAAGTGGCTAAAACGCATTACGTAGAATTAAAACGCCGAATACGCTCTACACAAAAATATTAGAGCAGTCCATCTACGCTCTACAAAGAATTAAAACAGCCGATTACGCTCTACAGAAAAGGGCTTGCGGGCCCCCCTCCATATGCACCACAGTAAAAAGGCATACAGACCCTCACTGGTGTGTTTTCACCACATAACTGCCAGATGGTACAGACACTGCCAGGTTACCCTCCACAACATAACACAAACTTTCCCTGGAGCAAAAATAAACAGTTCCACACTTGGCTTTGCCTACGGCACGATTTAGGACCCGACCTCTGAAGCTCTGTCTATCTCTGGAGGTAATGTTTCTGTAGTAACAAGTCACAGACAGTAGTTTGGGATTCCTGTTCCGACTCTTTGTTTGTGGAAGGTGCAGAGATGGGTTTGTGGAAAATGTTTTGGTTTTTACTATCGGATATTTAGGAGAAGGTTAAGGTCATGTGGGATACTGTAGATCTTGAAATATTCGCTGCAGTTTTAATTTTTGTTTTTTTCAGTGTCTAAACTTTTTTCAGTGTCTAAACTACTAGTAGTGTACTATAGAACTGTTTCACTTGTGAATGAATTTAAAACAGTGAAAACCTACCTTTACCTTCTAGTTCTACTGCGAAATAAACCACCACAAAACTTTCATGATTTACGGTATTCTTTCACAAAGTGCACCAATATTGAATTTATAAAAAACTTATGGCTACAGATTTTTTCTCTGCTGATTTTTAATGGCTAGTTGCCAGATTGTTTCATATAGGATTGAAATATAACACTAGGGAGTTATCATAATAACTTTATGAAACTAACAGGTGGTTACTGTTGTTATAAGGGCACCAGAGAGAGTGCATGTACACATGTATTTGTATTCCGGATAGGAAACTTGCCTCATGCCACTTCAAGCAAATCCTCAAAGTGGTCTTCCTCAACTTCCTGTAATACACACAGGACATTCCAAATGTTATTCTATACAGCTACTTTAGGATGGTTTTAAATTTGACACCTTTGAAAACAGTCTTGTAGGATAGGGCAGTTTCGTCATGGAACTTTGTAGTT